TGTCAGACTTGAAAAACCTTGAAGCGATACCCCACATAGCCCATATTTCAGCAACTTGAGAACTAGCAGGTAAAAAGGAGAGATGTTAAAATTTTGCCTGCTAGTTCTTCTGTCAATTAGAGATGCAGCTTTTGTTGGTCTTAACTTACAGTACATGGCTAATGTTTTTGTATCTATCCCACTGCCTTTTAAACTTCCAAAAGAAGGGAGACTATTTTGTTTCCTCTTAGTCTCCCCCATCTCAGAAAGCAGGTGATAGGAGAATGGAAGTAGAACAACAACTTCATGAATCTTCACCTCCAAACTCTATCAGGGTGTTAAGGAATTTTAATGTTTGCTTTGCTTTTCAGTTCTTTCCCAGGCAGCAGGATGCGACTCACCTGATGTAGGACAATTGCACAGCAACTCTCAGGGCCCTAAGCAACAGGAGTAAATCTGTCGCACTTAATGTTCGTATTACCCTGCTGCTGGCTGACAAGGGCTGTGAGCTGCTGCAGAGACACCAGAGCAGCCTGCAGGCACAGGATGACGATGCTCTTGGCTAAGCTATCCTTTTAAAAAGGCTTGAGTTTCTGCTGTAACTGGTTTGGCTTTCCTGACCGCCGAGGGACATTTGGTAGCAGGCCAGTGGCCTCTTGAAGCCCTAAGTTAGCTCTTAAAGTGCTATGGAAGTGCTAATTTTAATAAAAAAATAATAAAAAACCCTCTTGAACAATCTAGGAAGAATCCTGCATTGGCTGATAGCGTGTAGATTATGCCATGAGTTGTCTCATCATTGTCAATTACTACACCAAGCCAGACTGTGTTTGAAGCACAAATTGTGCTAGCTTTAGGCTGTAGGGTTGGACTTGCGTTCAGACTAGAAATGGAAACAATATGCGGTCAATTAGTGTTGAAGTTTCTCTCCATTCATGATATATAAATTTTTAATCCAGATTTATGGCCTCAACTTGCTGATCTCCGTTCATCGGTGCAATCATAATTGCCTCCACCAAAATCTGTTTTGTGCATGCAGAAATGATGGACAAAATTTCCATGCTGATGTTCTTATGGCTTAGTTTATATTCCTGTTGTTGAATGACCAAATATTTCCATGTGGGTGCAGTGGGGGCTTTTTTGGCTGGGGAAGGGAGATTTCTCTTGATAACTGCTGCTTTTGTGACATGCAGTCCCTAAAATTTTCATCTTGGAAGGTTTAACTTCGGATGTGGTCATGATCTTACTGTTTCCATTTTAAAGTTCTTGGAATAACAGTGAACATACTGGGATTAAGTCAACTAGTATCAGTAAGTTTTCTGTCTTGCAATGTAAATGGCACTATTGGGCATCAAGGCAGCCAAGTTGAACTGTAGGGTTTTTTTTATATTGCAAGAAATGACTGGATGATGTTTGACTTAGAAAGAAAACCATTTCTTATTAAAAACAGACGTGATTGCTGAATTATTTTGTATAGCAGTCTTTGTAGGTTAGGAACATGCCTTTAGATACAGATTCACCAATTGGAAGAAGTATTCTAAGGTATGTACTGTTTTGAGAAGTCAGTCGGAATAGATATTTGTTCCTTATACTTGGGCACACGTAGAAGAACTTAACCTACAAATTTTGTAATAGCTTTGTTAGCTGAGTGTTAATCAAGTCACTGTGAGGAACTCACATGGCAAATGACCCTTCTAACAATTTGCCAGTTACATAAATACTCTTTCAATGAGTAAAACACTTTTCAGCAGATTTTGCTATGTAAATGGCGTGATGTGAAAACTTGTAAAACTTCTTTCTTAATCACCTAACAGACTAAATCAAGAATGTTCTTCCAGTATAAAATTAGATGAATAGGAAAGGGAAATGTCACGCAGTTATTACTCTTTACCTATAAGTTTTAGCTTTTGGTAAGGCTTTCTTATATCTGGAAAGAAAATGTTCCAGAGTTTTGGAAGGAGGCAGGCTGGAAACTGTTGAAGTAGGAAACTTAGACCCTGCTGTATGACGTGACAGCAGAGCTGTGAATGACATTCAGGATGGTCAGCAAACCTTGGCTTTGACCTGTGTGACCATATGTTACATAGCCAACAGCCTCAAGATGCATTCAGGAAGGTGGGAGGTATAAGTAGCAGCTCCCAGTAGGAAATAAGTGTTTCCAAGAGGTCTCAGTACTCCATTAGGGATGGGACACCAAGCCCTTGGGTGACCCAGCACTGTTGGCCTCCGGAATCTTACCCACTTCCCTACCCCTGGGAGGAGCCAGCAGATCCATGCTGCTTGGTATGTGGTTTGGATGGGGTACAGCTACCCCTAAAAAGCTCTTAGACTGCTTGTGCTATGAGCAGTCTGAGAAGCTCTAAAGAAATGAGAGTAATCACTTAGATTTTTGTTTCTAATTATAAGGAAAAAAAGGAAAAAAATTTTTACAATGAGAGTGGTGAAGCACTGGAACAGGTTGCCCAGAGAGGTGGTGGAAGCCCCGTTCCTGGAGGCATTCAAGGTCAGGCTGGATGCGGCTCTGAGCAGCCTTATCTAGTTGGACATGTCCCCGCTCACCGCACGGGGGTTGGACTAGATGACCTCTAAAGATCCCTTCCAGCCCAAATGATTCTATAATTCTGTGCTATTATGGAGAGTGGTGTTTAGGAGAAGCAATAGTGTGAAAGAGCTGAAGGTGTCTGATGACTTAAATGTATTCACTTAGAGTTATAACGTGTGAAAGTCCTAAATCACAATGACCTCATTTAATATTACTAGCGCTGCTTGTTCCCTGTTGTCTATGTATAATCTCCTCTCTGTGTATTTGTTTGCTGGGCTAGGTGGTTTAGGCACTGTCCCCACGCTGAATAAAGTCCTGTGTAATGTGTGCTGTTGAGTTGGGATGGGCTGCTGTGGGGAGATGGTGTGAGAAGGACTAATGCTTTGCGGTTGCTCACACTTGAAGCATGTAGCCTGGTTATCTTGGTCTAGCTGCGTACAGACCATTAAAAACTGTTCACCTTAAATGTTAAATAGTAATGCCTCAATTGCTTATAAATCTGGAAGAGATTAGAGAGTGTAAAAGGAAGGAGCGGAGTGGCCTCTTCTGTGTGCGCTAGTGCTTTGGTTCTTGGCTCACAGCAAATCCGTAGCCTTGCTTTACTAAAATTAAGCATTTCTGTGAAGAGGCAGAGATTTTATTTTATTTTATTTTTTTTTAATTTTGGCAAAGTGGGGATGGTCATTAAAGCGTGCATTGAAACAGGCTTGGTCTTCTCATTATGTTTGCCTGGCAAAGCACTAATGTCATACGGTAGGTTATCTGACCACGTTTTTGCTGTTCTGACTAGACCTTAGTTAAGTCCTTATCCCAGCAGGAAAGCTGCCTGGAGAATATCCTTACAAAGGGAGAAACCATTAGCAGTGTGACTATGAGTGGGAAAAGTAAGCCTGAGTTTACATGCCTTAAAAGACATAGGCTATGTTTGCAGACCAACTCTCATTTTTTCGAACAAGTACGTTTTAATTTTAAGAAGGATGTTAATACCTTTCTTAGACCTGGTTTCGCCATTGCTTTCCTCTGCCTGATTTTTTTTTTTTTTCAATAAACATGGCAAATAATCAGCTTTCCCTCTTCACCCTGAAGCCAGGGCTAATGATCATCATCTTTTCATGCCTCAAACATGATTCAATTAAGAAACCCATGTTTTTATTACAGAAGGGCCCACAGCATATGTGGAGGTGCTAAAGGGTGTTTCGTGCTCTTGGCCTGGGTAGCTGTGTGTCATCCAAAGGATACTTGCACTTTTTTAAGCTGGCCTATGTTAACAACATAATCAGCTTTCCCTCTTCACCCTGAAGCCAGGGCTAATGATCATCATCTTTTCATGCCTCAAACATGATTCACTTTTTTAAGCTGGCCTATGTTAACAACGCTCACGGTAACTGTGTGTATCTGTCTTGATTTTAAGTGTTATAACTTAATTGTTACATGAGATCCCTGTAACTATCTGCGCTCTCACCTATAGCTTTGCCTTATCAGCATCTATTTAATTTAACAAATGAAAAAAGGAGATTTGATACTTGATCAAATTTAGAGACTTGCTGGTTTGCTTTGGGTACTCATTTATAAGCTGTGCAAGTTGCGATTCATCTTTTAATGTTTTATTTCAAACTGGAAGCTGGCAATCTGAATTCATATTACTGCTGCTGGTTTTGAGGTGGCTGGCGAATTCATCAGTAGGAAACATGGGGAACCTTTAGCACAACTGTAACTTCTCTTCTCCTTACAGGCTTCACAGAGCCCAGTGTGCAATTAAACAGACTCAGGTAACTGTTCAGAAAATAGGAAGGGAGATTGAAGAAAAGCTGAGATGTACGTCTACGAGCAACGAACTGGTAAGTTTGATCATTTAAAACCTTATTCTACAGTCTTGCTGAAGTATGTGGCTGATGTCTTGACCGTAAGCTTGTTTTGTTTTGGTTTTTTTTTTTAACACTTGAACTTGAAATCTTTATTTAAACATGTCATTTTAAATGGGAACTCATCTGAGAAGTGTAATGTAATGGGTTTTAGATTTGTGTGTGTTACTCAGGTCGCTTATCCTATTTGTACCTTTATTTTTTATATTTGCTTTTATACTATAAAAGCATAAGCATTGCACAGTGCATGAAAGAGATTTGTCAGGAAAAACAAACTTTTAATGATTTAGATAAATTTTGACAGGAACCTGTGGTGGATTTAGAGTGAGGGAAGTCTACTGGCTGTATCTTCTTGCACCTCTGCTCCCTTTGGGTGAACAGAATTCACGCAGAAGCTGTCACTCAAGTGACACATTCATTTTAAGCAGGAATCGTATTACATCTTGCAATGAGTTTTGACAGTTTGTTTTGTCTGTCCTCTTCCTCTCCCCCAAAAAAGCGTACTGGCACTAGTTTCTACCTTCTGCCCAGAAAGGCTGAGCTCAGTTCAAAGCAATGAGTTGACAGAAGAAGAGTGGCTCATGGTAACTTCATTATATGGGTACTCACTGGCATTTGTCTGGTGCCTTCTATAGGGAAGCGCAAACTTGGGATGTGAAGGTACTTTATTGCTGTAAGGGTTGGGAGTACTCAGCTAATTTCTAAAAATGTCAAACTGGTCTAAGGGTTTTGACAAAATGGAAAAATTGGAGTTTGTTTAGCCACTCTAATTACAGGGTTGCATTGTAGACAAAGAAGCAAAGAAGTCAGCTCCCTTAAGGGGCAATACAACATCTCCTGTGAGTGACTCCAACCCAGAGCTTCTTTGCTTTCTGCTAGTATCTTGGCTGTTAAAAGGTTTTAAACCATCTTTTTTTTCAGTTATGGGTATCCTTGTCCCGCTTTGCAGGGCTTTTCCTTCATAAATGTGTGTGAGCAAAACTATATGAAGACACCAAAACCAAAAATTACAACGATTGTACATGTGATGCAACTTCTTAGCAACCGTGGTTTATGGTATAAGGAAATGATCACCTATTTTTCTTTTCCTTTGTTCAAGAGTGGAAACTCTTGTTGGGCTTCCATTCCCCTTTATAGTATGTGAACTATAGTTTCATTCCTTAACATTGAGTCATGTTTCCTGCTGCAGCCTTGAACCAGAAAGCTGAGCATACATGTGTAACTGAACCAAATAGAAAGTGGAAGGAAGGATTCAGCAAAGGCTGACTTTTTTTCAGGCAGCTAGTCATGAAGTAACGTTGTCTTCATTAACTGCTTGAAAAAGCAAAAGCTGGCAGAGTTACACAAAGTGACAGTGGCTGGTAGTACTTGCACAAGACTTGCTGACAAGTATGTCTGACTGCCCCGTCAGGCTTTGAACTCTATCAGGGGTATGCTTGGAGCAAAGAGATAAAACTTCTCTTTTCCATTTTGAATCTGTCTTCAGTTATTCTATCTATTGAACGTGGTAGATATTCTTTCCTTAAAACAAAACCAAACCCCACTTAAAATAGAAAATTCTGCTTCACTATGCACATGGCAGCACAATTTGTTAGTGGAGACAGTGCATCAAAGAATAAACAGATTCTTTTTAAACACAGGAATAGATTTAACGTAGGTACAGGACAAATCCTAAAACTTTTAAAGAAGGGATCCTTCAAATAGGATTGTGTGTAATGACGTAATCAGCTCCCCGCTATGTGTTCTTTCCTTTTGTATCCTTTTTTTCCTCATTACCCTGAAGCTGGGAATTGGATCTAATTGTGCAGCTCAGACACCTCCAACCTTTTCCAGCTCGCTGCCTCAATTTATTATAGATGCTTTATTGCTCATCTTCCTTCTTGTTGCCAAACCCTTTGCCAGGGAATGAATGCTCGTCGTGCTGCTGATGCTGTGCTATTAGTTTCTATGTACTCGTGCTTCCTTCCTCTCAATTTCTACCCTGGGGAGGAAGTGCATCCCACAGGAGGAACAAGCACTGAGGGACACAGCTGAGTTTCTTTCCTTCCAAAGTGGCAAAATGATTAGGGTCTATTGCCTGTGGTACTCTATGAACTCAGACTTTAGTCTGGCAACTAGTCTTGTCCTATTTTTTACTTCCCTCCTATCACTCTTTTGTGGAACTGCTTGTGTGCCGAAAAACTTTTATTTTTTTAAATCTCTTTTTCTTTCAATAGAAAAAGGAGAGTGAATGTTTACAGTTGAAGATCCTGGTGCTACGTAATGAACTGGAGAGGCAGAAAAAGGCCCTTGGTCAAGAAGTAGCCTTGTTGCATAAAGGAAAAAGTACTTTGCATGACAGAGGTAAGTGTAGAAACGTTACTACTTCTATTGCAGATATTCATAATCCACTGATCAGAAAAGTCTTATGATCATGGTGACCAAAATGAAGGTGCTGGTTCTTCTTTTTCTTTTTTTTTGTCTAGCTCTAATATGCTTCTGTTTTTCTTTATCTGAAGTTTGCAGTGAACAGTGGCTTGATGTAGGCACATTATAATGTCATGAGGGATGTTATTGTACCTGTGATTAGGATGCCATTTTAAGTGTTAGAAGACAAAAATCCCTCTTAATAGCTTGTTATGGAAGTAAAAGGTGAAATGCTTGATCGTCTTGCTATTTTCTTTTACTGGGAAAGTGTCCTGTAGTAAAATACTATTTCACTGTCTCTTTGGAGATCACCAGTGACCAAGCTACATGGGTGTTTAATCTGTCTCGTTGCAGGACTTTTTTTTAATACTTAGTTGAGTCTAAAATAATTAGTCACTACTAAAAATGAGTTTTTTTGCCATTTACTTAATTCTAGCTATGCAAGTATTGAGATGCCTTAACTGAATTACTCCACTACTGTGGACATGAGAGGAACAGGCGTTAAAGGAGAATGAGGTTTTGTTGGTTGTGTTTGGCTGGTGAATGGTGTATAATACATGAAGACAGTGCAGGAGGAAAACCTATCATTCCCCAGTTTGACAGCGTAGCATGGAAGATGGGCATCTAAGAGTAAGTGGAGGATTAGAGCCAACATTTGTGTCAGTATCTACTTTTAAAACTTCAGATAACTAAGAAAATATTTCATACTAATTTTTTTCCTGGTTCCTCATGTTGTTTAGAAAATGCATTTGAGATGGAATACCAGAAACTTCAAGAGCATAACGAATCCCTGCATGAATTAAGAAAGGAATGCACTGCTAAGAGGTAAAAGGACTTATGCTTTTTCTGCTATTGGAAAGGAAATACAGGCTTGAGAGTAAGCCATTGGTGCAAGGAGTCCCACTTCAAAAGTCTTCCTACTGTCACCCCAAAACTTCTGTTGAGACATCTCTGCTACAATTTATAGATATCTGAAGTGACAATTAACAGTGGCAAGTCTAGAAGAGTAGAAAACAGGTGCTTGGTTGCATGTGTAGACTATGATAGGACTTGTAGGTCTATTTTATATGTAACACAGCTTTGTAATACTTAATTGTCATAGTCAAAATACGCCTATAATATGAAGTACAACTGAAAATGAAAAGTTGGCTTTATCTTCTGTATTTATTTTTTTTGGTTGAATTACCTAGCTTTTTATGGAATGGGAGGTGGTACTTGGGAAGATGCAGAAGGGATATGGGGGCTTGATACCTTTACTTAAAGTGTGTGAAGAAACTAATAGTTTTGGGATCTCTTTCCCCAAAGAGAACTGTTTCTGAAGACAAATGCCCAGCAGACTATTCGATGCAAGCAGTTGCTGTCGGAGCTATCCTATATCTACCCTATTGATTTGGTATGTTTTTAACATTCTAAAAATCTGCTTGATGTGAAATGAACTTCCTATTTATTAAACTGTGAGCAAATATCATGTTTTATTCATGGTGAAATTTGCACTTCACTCATGCTGTTTTTTCCAGCTTTTTCTTGGATTTGGTCCTTAGATTGCAAACCTCACGGGGAGAGGACTTACGCCAGCATCTCTCAAATAGTCTCCACTATAAAAGTAGAATAGCTGTAGCTGCAATTTAATGGATACTTTCCATTTTGTTTACAATTATATGAAATAACCCTGACAGTAGGCTAGCTGAACTTTAACAGAGTGCACACAAACAGATGTCATCAAAATATTGAGCTCCAAAACCTTTTATATAATGAATTGATTAAGATGAAACTCTTCCTTCTTTAAAAAAAATTGCATTTATTTCTGAATTATATGAAATGTGGGCTAAAATACTATGTCAAAGTCACTCTGGGTTTAATTGAATATTTAGTGTTTCCTTTATAAAAATGCTTTGTTGTCATCAGGTTTTGTGCAGGTTTCTGTTTTCTGGATGTTATTGTTCCATTCTCACTTTCCATTGTTGATTTTAAACTTACAGAATGATCAAAAGGATTACTTTGTTTGTGGAGTCAAGCTTCCTAATTCTGAAGACTTTCAAGGTAGCTGGATATTCTTAATTTAGTTGTTACAGTTGACACTACTTAATTTTATGAGTGTTAGAAGCAAACTGATAGCAATGGCTTAGGATCCAAATTTCTGACCAGAAAGGTCTAGACTAGAAGAAAACTTAGGTGTTATTCATTCCTACTTCCTAGCTAGTGCAAGGCAAGTTGTTGTTGACTCTTAGAAAAGTACCTCTGTATTTTAAGACTCAATACTGAAGCACTGGAACAGGTTACCCAGAGAGGCTGTGGAGTCTCTATCCTTGGGGATGCTCAAAACCCAACTGGACAGAGTCCTGGGCAACCTGCTGTGGCTGACCCTGCTCTGAGCAGGGGGCTAGGACTGCGCAATTTCCAGAGATGCCTTCCAAACTTAGTGATTCTGGAAAGTATTTGTCTGACCTAAAATTCCACTGTGGCTACTTTCAGTCCATAAATCTTGATGGGGCAATGTGCATGAATCCCCATTCAGTTTACTGTAGTTGCTGGTGAACTTAACAAATAAATATCTTGCATAAATAAGACTTTAAAGCTGCCTGACAGTATGGAGTATTTCACAAGTCAGCTTCTACTTTAACTGTCTACAGTCATGCTATTGCAGAAGCAAATATATAATATGCCTGTCTGTACAGGTAGCTGCATGCATTCATCTACAAATACTTGACGTGAACTGAAACTTCATTAAAATCCCCTTGAGAATTTCTTGTTCCCAGTACTTGCTCACTTGGCAAGTGAGCCGTGTGTCGTTTCTTGGGCAAAAACCTCAATCAGTTGTCTAACTCTTTAAAGCCATCCTATAAGAATTAACTTGTGCTAACAACATGTCTATTGGATGCTAGAATAATGGAGGAGTAATCTTTAAAACAAATTAATTTGTTAATATGACAAAAATCAGTCAATTGCTTTGTTTTCCTGATTGCACTAGATGTGATAATGAACTCACTTTGGTAATTCTTGAGAAATTGGTGGCGTGCATCTTTTGGCCTGTTTGCAGTTTACTGGTATTAATTCCTTGCAAAAGAATTACTAATTCTTTATCAAAGTCTCCAGAAATACTGTATTACAAGGAAAAAGTACTAAGCATTCAACTTAGTAAAATATGTAGTTAAATTTGAAAAACAGCTGACGTATATCTTATTTCAGACTCTTAGTAGATAGTAATATTTTAAAAGAAAATTAGGCATCTGAAGGATCAAAAAAAATGTTGAACGCTTTTTACAGCCCCTTCAAAAATGATTTTGTAACTTACAAATCCATATATCGTGTCGTGCTCTAATAGAGCTCAGTAGTAGATACCTAATTTTCTTTTAAAATATTACTATCTGAAGGATCAAAAAAAATGTTGAACGCTTTTTACAGCCCCTTCAAAAATGATTTTGTAACTTACAAATCCATATATCATGTCGTGCTCTAATAGAGCTCAGTATGATTTCATAGTTGTCATTAAACATCATTATAAGCTTTCTTAGAAGGTCCTCTGTTTAGTTGCTTTCACGGGACTCCTTTGTGCCTCAGAAAGGATGACTCTGTCACGTCGTTTGTATTAGTGTGTTCACTTACAAAGAAGAAAAATAGAGAAAACAGAAAAGTCCTTATGTGGCTAAAGGATGTAACTTGAATCATGAGGCCGAAGCTTTAAGGTTGAAAACTTAAATGCCACATTGAAAATGATACTTTAAAACAATGGGTTAATTTAAGTTCTTGCAGTTACTGGCAGAGAACAGAGTTCATACCCTGAGGTCAGTGTCTCTCCAGCTGATCTCACTAATGAATAAAGTTAATGGAGGAATGCAGCTTTTCCCTGACCCCGGTCATACATGTCAGCTACATCTAGAGAAATGCAGAAAGCTTAAGACTTGAATTTTGTCTTGGGAATTTTGTTTCACTTTCTCCATCTCTTCTTTACCCTCCCCCACCCAGCAAAATGTTGAGAAGAGTAACTTTTAGCTTTCAAAGTGTAAAAATGGAGGGAGAACAAGCCATCACCCATTTTTACATTGCCCTTTAATGAAAGAGGCAAATGCAGCGAACTGCAAACAATTGTAAAGCAGTCTGAATTTATTTCAGACTTGCATCTATTCTTCAGTTATAACTTCTGATAGCTTCATTAATTGTATAATTCTCTGAGCAATAAGGATGAACTTGCGCTGAGCCTGCATTCAGATTCAATTCAAATAATGGAATCTTTTTGTTATTGGCAGCGAAAGATGATGGAAGCATTGCTGTTGCCCTGGGCTACACCGCTCACTTGGTTTCAATGATATCCTACTTCTTACAAGTGCCACTCAGGTATCCTATAATTCACAAGGGCTCCCGGTCTACAATCAAAGATAATATCAACGACAAACTGACAGAGAAAGAGCGAGAGTAAGTGTGTCATAAATATGCTTATTTACATCATGCATATGCATCAAAACAACAAATCAACAACAACAACAAAAAAAACCCCTTGAACAGTTTTGGGTAGTCTGAAGGGACACAGAGTTTGAAGTTATTTGTTACTGCTTTCAGTAACTGTGGGACAGTTGTTTGACTTTCTCATGTTGGAATTCTGCGATCTAATAGAGTAGTCCATTTTTGTCATTCTAGGTCTGTTGGCATGCATATGCTATTGATTGGGCTTCTAGTAATGGTAGAAAAACTTAAATAGTGTGTCTTATAGGTAAGTTTTGGCTGCTGATTGGAAAACCTGCATTTCATGTTTTGCTACTCACTATGAGAATAAACTGCAGATAGCAAGTGTAGCTTCACTGAGAGGTTACTACCAGTACTGGAGGAGTGGTTGATAAACATGAGAAAATAAATAGCTTGCTTTAACGCAGAGGATTTTAATAAATTGAAAAAGAGGACTGTAAACTTTTATCAACTATAAATCAACTTAATACTCAGTGAAGAGTTTTTCATTTGTTCTGTAATCATTGTCTTTTGACATGTAGCTACACTATTGTTTTGTGGTGCTACTAGGAAACTATCTTGCTGTCCTTAAATTCGCTCTCTGAATGCCTTCTCCTGCATTTGGCACTTTGCCTGTTTTCCCGTTGGCTTTGCACCTGTGTGCTCTAATACGAAAATAGTGGCAATTATTGGTTAAGCTTCACTTTGTAGCCTGCAACCGCAGAACTCAAAGGAATGCACTATTGACCAGCTGTGGGAGGGCAGCTGCTCTGCAGTGATCCTGTGTGTGTATGGATGTCTGCGGAGTCGGGCCTGCAGCACCAGCACCTTTTGGTTTTCCATACGCAAGGTTTCAAAAGGGAGCAAAGGAAATGGCTGAGGAGAAATGAATTTGTGGAGAGTAGCTGTCTTTATTGACAGGAAGTCTGGAAAAAAAAAAACCAACAACAAACTCTTTTCTCTTTGGAAGTATGCAATGAAAGTATTATACTATCTTAACACTAATTCCTAATAGTCTAAATCAAGATGGAAAGGTCTTATTGTGCATAGTTGACAGGACTGGGATGCTTGGAAGTGTCTGATTTCTCTTTGAAGCTCAGTGACTTTTGGCAGGACTGTAGAGGTAACTTGCCTTAAGACTTAAACTCACTGACATCTTCCTGTTTTGACACAATAAAATATGACTATATAGTTATGTCTTGCAAATTTAATTTTTATCATTTTAATAACTTGTCTGAACACTTCCTGGGTAACTTAATAGAACATTAATCTGTTTTGCTTCAGTTTAGTTCTTTAAGCATCTGATCGTACTCTTTCCTGTACATCACTTTCAGAAGGGTAGCAAGCTAGAACATTTATATCTGGAAAATAAATTTCTGAGGAATAGAGCTGCCTGTGTGTGGGTGTATAAAGATTAAACCAATTTCCTGTTGTCTGAGACAGATTGGAAGGTTTAGTCCTTCAGGCTATAGCCTTCCAAACCCTCATGACTTAATACTTTATTTCACAATAGATTTCTGAAAAGGAGAAAGTTTAGCAAAGTATATGAATCCCTGTTGGGCCATTTACCTGTGTTCTGGAAGATTTTTTCGGGATTAGCTCCTGCCTGAGATCTTCCCAACTATTGGAGAGTCAGTCCTAGCAACTCTCAAAGGCCTTTGGTTGCTATAGAAAACATCAAATGTCTTAGCTTACAGTTTTCTTTCTCAACTAACAGTTCATGTTTCTCACCTCCTACTAAATGAATTGAACATAGCAATTAACATGCATTATTAAACTTCTTTATTTCAGTCACCTGTCCTTTAGCAGCTTTTCAAACTCCAACATAAACTGTTGAGTAATTACAGTGAGGCTTTCTCTGTACTCTTTACTATAACACATAGCATCTATTCACTAGGTTAAACATTTTACTTGGCTTCATACTTTATTTTTGGACTGCAGGGTTGCCCTAAGATCCATATTAAGAGCTTCTAAAAGCTGTGCATTGGGGGAATAGCTGTTTTCACTTGAGAGCAATTTCATAAGTACATGTGTTTGATTTTAATGTTATACTGTATAAATGTGTTACTTCACTTTCAAGTTTCTTGAAGGGCTTAAAAAAGCTAGTATAGTAAGCTGGTTAAATATTTTGAGAGCTTTCAGAGTGTAAGTTTCATTTGGGAAATACTTTATCTGCTTCAGAGTTGTTTACTTGGATGATCCAGGTCACTTAAATGTCAAGGTTCTTGTAAAAGTATTCAGTTTTGTCTGCTGCAATTGCTGTTATAGTTGGACCTTAAGAGTGTACAAAAGAAGTAGGAGGCTGTGGTGAGAACTTAGCACTTGTCTGGCCACATTACTGAAGGTAGAATGAGGTATAGAATACCTGCCAGTGGCATACAATATATGGTCAGCTTTGTAATTGTAGAGATACTAGTTTTTATAATCTGTTCAATAACTGTTGCCTTCTTGTATTTCATAAAATAGTTTTGGTACTACTAAAAGGCTGTAAATTTTCTCCCATAAATCTACCTTTATGACTTTCTGGGCCACCAAGGTAAGACAATACGATTTTCCACTAAATACCTCATTAATGCACTTCTTCAGTGTCCCTTTCAACATCTCCAGAGTGCATTGAGTATGTAGGAAGAAAGAGTACCATTCCTCAAAAGTTCTGGAGTCTGAAAGATTTCAGAGCGAGTGCACCCTCATTCGGTTTGTAGAGGACACCAAGTTGGGCAGGAGTGTTGATCTGCTTGAGGGTAAGAAGGTTCTACAGAGGGACCTGGACAGGCTGGATCGATGGGATGACACCAACTGTATGAGGTTCAACAAGGCCAAGTGCTGGGTCCTGCACTTGGCTCACAACAACCCCATGCAACACTACAGGCTTGGGGACGAGTGGCTGGTGAGCTGCCCAGTGGAAAAGGACCTGGGGGTGTTGGTTGACAGCCAGCTGAACGTGAGCCAGCAGTGTGCCCAGGTGGCCAAGAAGGCCAACAGCATCCTGACATGTATCAGAAATAGTGTGGCCAGCAGGACCAGGGCCGGGATCGTCCCGCTGTACTTGGCATTGCTGAGGCTGCACCTCAAGTCCTGTATTCAGTTCTGGGCCCCTTGCAGACCTTGAGGTGCTGGAGCGAGTCCAGAGAAGGGCAACAAAGGTGGGGAAGGGTCTGGAGCCCAAGTCTGATGGGGAGTGGCTGAGGGAACTGGGGGGGGTTGGTCTGGAGAAGAGGAGGCTGAGGGGAGACCTGATCGCTCCCTACAACGACCTGAAAGGAGGGTGTAGCCAGGTGGGGGTCAGTCCTTCTCTCAAGTAACAACCGATAGGACAAGAGGAAATGGCCTCAAGTTGTGCCAGGGGAGGTTTAGGTTGGCTATTAAGAAGAATTCGTTCACCAAAAGGGTTGTCAGGCATTGGAACAGACTGCCCAGGGAAGTGGTGGAGTCCCCATCCCTGGAGGTATTTAAAAGAGGTGTAGGTGTGGTGCTTAGGGACATGATTTAGTGGTGGGCTTGGCCGTGCTGGGTTAACAGTCAGACTCGATCTTACAAGTCTTTTCCAACCTAAAAGATTCCATGGATATGTAACTCCCAAATTTAAGCTACTTAGGACAGCAACATGTTTCTTTCTCCAGTGACAAAGATAGATGTTTGCTGAATAAACCACCTAAATTCTTTGGCACTATTCTTGCGGAACTGAAACGTAGCACTTCATTCAATTCTCATAAACATAGTAAGAATGCAGAGATTAAACTATTTATGATATGTTCTGACACTGTCTGTGTAGCCTTGCATTTAATGGTTCTGTTAGTCTGCTCTGAAATTTTCAAATAAAGAATAGCTTCCAGTTTAGAGCAAAATAGGGATTGTTAGTTTTGGAGTGAGACATACTTTGTGAAATTGCCTGTGTTGGTGTTACTGCTATTGTAGTATTTTTTCTTTATATTCTTTTCAGTTCTGTTCTTTCAATTTCAAATCAAACTAGGCAGCTTGGAAATATATATACTCTCCTAAGAAAAATAATGCTCTTTGGAGTTTAATCACCTTTTTGGTACCCTGCATGTATCCGGACAAGTGAAATGCACATTCAGAGAAATTATTTCTGTTGTAATTTTGCATTCTCATTCATACTGTGTCTTTTAAAAATTTTCAAGAACTCTTACTTCCCTGCTAGGTAATTTGGAAACAAGAATGTTTTCAGGAAATAGTTTTGCTATCATTGTTTCTTTGTAGTAATAGTAAAGAGAAATAAGTAGTATGTGCAGTCTGTTCTGGCTCATGCTACACCTTCTTCCCACCAAAGTGTCTTAAGGCAGAATCAGAAAACTGAGAATAACCACCTCAAAGTCCTATTCAGGTTAGAAGAAAAAAAAATGAAAGGGTAGAATATGTGATCTAAAAAGGTTTTGGATTTAAAAGGCAAAAAGAACATTGTAGTTTTCAAGCATAGCTACTGGAGCACATATAGGCATTTCAGAGTTGTCTGATCTCAAAGAAGTGCTTTTTTTTTCTTGTTTAAATATTGAAGTTGTTACTACTTCCATATTTTTGACCTTTATAACATTAATTTTAAAAATAATAAAAAAAAAAACCAAAACAAAAAAAACCCCACCAACAAACAAAACAAACAGGCCCTGGACAGTCATGGAAGAAGCCTGATCTAGTCTGGTGTATTTTTTTGTAGGAATATTTGGCATTAGCTGATCTAACAGTGAACTACTGTAAAAATTTTCTTGGCATTTTCTAATTTATAGAGAGATTTAAGGTGTTTTCTTCCACTCTACTTGACAAATACAGACACCAACAGGCCAAAGGATACGCAAACACCTGTGATGCTGTCTTGGGCGTCTGCATTCAAAGGCATCTGACGTCTTTGCAGTTATGTTTTATGACTTTTATGTACCTCAGGAGCCAAACAGTTGTATGAAATGACATAAGGAGTAAAATTGAGCATGCTGCCATGGCTTGCTAAATTATGCTTCTTCTTG